TATACCGTAGGGTGCTTTTTTTCCAAGGGCTATAGATTTCATAGATTTTAATTTAATTTTCAAGAATTTATGCCGTCTGTCATCTTGTACCATATTAATTTGATTTTTAAGAAGTAATTTTTGCAAATGTTTAAAAATCCTGAAATCCACAAAATTTACAGCCTTTGAAAAAAAGTGCCCTACAATATTGGCTTTTTACAAGTATACAATATACAATTTGCATGTACATATACCATATAGCATAAAAGTACAAGTTATTTACATGTAAAAAATAATAATTAAATTAAGGCCACTCCAATTTGATTCCTTGTTTCCCATTACCCGCCCGCATGGGGCCGCATCGCTATTCATTATTGCGGTTTTTCATTGATTATACAAGCAATTTATACAGCTGATAATGAATAAATTTAATGAAAATGAACAAACCCGCCCGCCCGCATCAGGCCCGCCTCTGTAATGGGAAACTATGAATCTTATTGGAGTGGCCTAAATAGTAGAACATGGAGTCATTGGATGAGCATTAATTAGAATATCACATAGATCTATAGATCTACATCTACCTGTCTTTAGTTAGTCAGGTGTTCCAGTCCATTCTGCAGCAATAAACTTCAATTGTATTCAGTCTAGTCACTCTCATATAAAAAAACAGCTCAAAACATAGCCAGCTCATCGATCGACTAGCCCCGAGCCTCACCCAAACCCCAGCCCTCCACTCTAGATCTAGCTGACTAGCTCTTTCACCATCTCGCAAAGGCTTGTATTCTTGATGTAACTCGAGATGTAACTTTACTAGTTTCTCCTTTAGCTTTAGCTGAAGCACTCCACCTCTCATTAACTGTAAGCAATGCAATTGTATGTGTACAATACTATATCTACTGTACATAAAATCTATGCTGTGTATCAAATTTTAGCTGATTCCTATCAAAACTGGATTTTTGGGAATTACATTTTCTAATGCATATGTGTGTATTTATGTTGTGTGGAAAGTTTGAGCCAATTCTGACTAAAATTTTTGACCACTTTTAAAAAGTAGCAGTTTTTTGGAAAAAGCAAAAGTTCCAATTTTTGGAAAAAAACCACAAACTTATAGTCCATATTTTTTTCCAAGAAATGACTCTGAAATCACCCCAAATTTTTATTATATTTTTTGATACATATTGATGTCCTTATGCTATGTAGAAAGTTTGAGCCTATTCCAACTTGAATTTTTTGAGTTATGGCCATTTTAAAAAATGGGCCAATTTTTGAAAAAATCCCTGTACTAGCTATAGCCCATGGTTTTTTCTAAAAAACGGCTCCAAAATCACCCCATTTTTAATTATATTTTCTGATAAATATTAATGTCCTTATGCTATGTAGAAAGTTTGAGTTGGTTCTGACTTCAATTTTTCGAGTTATGACCATTTTTTTAATTAGAAAATTTTTATAAAAATTAATCCCTGTACTATAGCCCATGGTTTTTTCTAAAAAATGGCTCTGAATACACCCCAAATTTTAATTTATATTTTCTGATACATATTGATGCCCTTATGCTATGCAGAAAGTTTGAGCCAATTCCGACTTCAATTTTTTGAGTTATGGCCATTTTTAAAAATGGGCTAATTTTTGAAAAAATCCCTGTACTATATAGCCCATGGTTTTTTCTAAAAAATGGCTCCAAAATCACACCAAATTTTTATTACATTTTCTGATAATTATTAATGTCCTTATGCTATGTAGAAAGTTTGAGTCGATTCCGACTTCAATTTTTCGAGTTATGGCCATTTTTTAAAATTAGCAAATTTTTGGAAAAAAGCAAAGGCTATAGCCCATGGTTTTTCCAAAAAATGGCTCCAAAATCACTCCCAATTTTTATTACATTTCCTGATACATATTGATGTCCTTATGCTATGTTCCTTGGAGTCATAGTCAATGCTATATTATTAAAAATTACTATAATGTACTGTAATTCATTACTCTGTCTTTCTTTCTCTCGTATATTATTCCTCCTTATCTTTATTCTGTATCTCTCCTTATTCATTAGACAGATCCAGAGAATACTGATTATGCTGCTGAAGCTGGTGCTTATAGAACATTTCAAGCAGAGGCCATTGCTGTGAGAGAGATTGAGCGCAAGCAACAAGAGAAAGAAGAAGAGGAGGCCAACAACCCAATGCTGGTATAATAGTTCAATCACAATAATTATTGTTTAAACTAGAGTAGTAATTCTGATCTTTATATTGTAGATTTTTGTAGTTTTTTTAATTCTTCTAGATGATTAATACCTTAATTTCATTAAGTGGTTGTTTTATTTTATCTCAAAGTTTTCTCCCTCCCCCTCCCTCTCTCTTCTTCATTAGGCATTAGAAAACAGGACCAAAGAGTCAAGGAGAGAGATGGACATTCTTGACGTGCTTGAAGAGATAAAGGACATAAACGCTCAACAAGAAGGAGTCTCATTTGAACAACTAATGGAGAAACACCTTGA